CGATAAGGTGGCGCGCATTGGCCGATGTCAGACTTTGCGATTGGAGCGATTTTGCACCAATTGCAGGAGCGATCCGTCGCTCGGGCCGTGATGTGCCATTGGCCGTTGTGGCAGGGAGCGATCAATCGCTGCCACGCCCCTTCGATCAATACCCTTGACTGGGAGTCGACAATACATAACGTTTACATCTCCGCGGATTTAGATTAAACCCTTCTAGTATCTGATTAGTGATGATAGCGTAATTAAATAGTATACGACCAACACTGTTTACTACGCTGTTTGTAACTACTCGTGATTGAGCATATTTGTTGTTTTGCTTTTGTGTTTTTGATATTTCAACATTTTTTTGCTTGCAGGTCTATGCGATGTAAGACTAATGGATGTACGATGTAAGGACGTATACTATTCGATTACGCTATCACCACTAATCAGATACTAGAAGGGTTTAATCTAAATCCGCGAGATGTAAACGTTATGTATTGTCGACTCCCAGTCAAGGGTATTGATCGAAGGGGCGTGGCAGCGATTGATCGCTCCCTGCCACAACGGCCAATGGCACATCACGGCCCGAGCGACGGATCGCTTGAGCGATCTCCAATTGGTGCAAAATCGCTCCATTCGCAAAGCCTGACATCGGCCATTCCTATAGAAAATCCTTCGTTTGAAAATCCTGCGATCCCAACAACCTACTCACAGTGCAGATCCGCTTATTAATTCTCAGTCCAAAGACAGAATCAGATGGTGAAATGGACCATACGTGATATCCGTTAAGCTCGAAAAAACAGTTGTTTCCCGGTCCTAGTGAGCTAATTTTCCGCCAGATTAAAGAAAATGACATCTAAGTCGGCTGACTATGGAGTTTCCTTTTTTGTCAAAACAATTCGAAGCGCGTATACTTGCCCACGAGTCGATAGTGACGATGTGTCGTAATCCAAACAGATCTTGAGGACAGTTCATTTCACCCAGGACCCACAAGGGAGGTATATAGTATTGGATTTGGGAACATTTGCTGTGCTTGTGGAAGTGTTCATGGCCTTTCATCTATGTCCACGCTTTCATTACGGTTGTTGGTGTTGTGCTTTACATAGACTCCCTGAAGGGATCCTTCCCGAGAAAATC